GGTGGCGGGGGGGTGGGGGGGTGAGGGGGGGGGGGGGGGGGGAGGTGGCTTCAAAGGGCTTCTTGCACATTCTAGTATGAGTCCTCCTCTGCGTCACCTGGTCCCAGCCCGCGGCCCCAGGAGTTTCTTTTCTATGAGGGCACCCAGCACAGATAGTTTGTGAGGCTGGCACTACTGCAGTGCGACCAACCGTCTCAGCAGGCATGTGAACATGTAACCAAGTAACTCTTTAAACGACAAGCTGATGCTTATGGTTAAAGGTTTCAGTTACACTCCCCTGGCTCCCAGGGAGGTGGCTTTGCTGTGGCAGGTCTGCAAAGCCATCTCCCCCGGACAGGGCCAGCTTTAGGGAGTGCGGGGCCCAATTCGAACCACTTTGGCGGGGGCCCCCCAAGCCCCCAACCAGGATTTTTTTTGTTGAGCAAAAAAAAAACCACGCACCAACACAACAAACCACAACCACACACAAATATCACATCAGAAGTAGATCTAATCAAAATATAGTTGAACATTGTCCAAAAAAATGCCATCCTTTATTATGCAAAATTTTACACAACATTAAATCAGTTGCCTTAAGTGTGGGTCAAATATTTTCAATTTCAAACTATCCAGTTTTTTCAATAAAGTTTGATTTTTAAAAATTTACCAGAAGTTGCAGTTTTCTGTTACATTGATTTACTTTTTTAATAGCAAAAATTGAGTCTTTAAGAAAGTGTCAGGTCTGTGGTCAAATTCCAGGCCTTAGTGATTTCAGCACCAATGATTTCACTAGGTAATATGGTACCTCACCACCATTGCCTCCTTTGCACTGCTCTTCAACACATTGCCTGCATGTTGAGTCCAAGATCAGTCTAGACAAGATTTTATCAATGATTTTTGCTCAAGTGATCACTGAGACAAGACAAGGACTCTCAATTGATTCTAGTCAGCTCTGCCTTTAAACACTGGATGTAAAGTGTCAGATATAATTGAGGACTTCCAAATAGACTCTACACCACCAGAAATAAAACCTGTTTCCATCTTTTGTGACTTTCAGTTAGATGTGACTCACTATCCTCTGCTTAGTGTTCAAGTTATGGTAGACCCTAAACCAGGTCATATTAAGTTCAGGTCTTTTAATCATACAATATGGATAACAACATTTCATTCTCCCAGCTCCAAGTCTTAAGTGAATTTCAACCCAAAAGAGCCAAAATTGATCACCTTGACACAGCAAGTGTGTCTACTGATCTCTGTGGCAAAGGAAGTTTTCTATATAAATAAGGTCTGCTCGTGAAGCCTTTTCCTACAGTTGATTAACAGAAGGCAGTAGATAGCTCATTCAGACCACTGGCTGATAATAGTTAGTCACCCTGACCAGTCATTAATCATAGTAATGGACTCGGGACGCCCAGGTGTCCTCCCTGCCCCCGTGCTGCACCGCACATGGGCAGCAGCAGGCGACAAGGAGGAGCCGCGCACAGCAGGGGACGCTCTGGGGGCGGGGTGGAAGGACACGTTGGGGGGCCAGCAGGGGGGTGGAGCAGGGTGCCGGCTCTGTAACTCACCGGCTGGCGCTTCCGGGTTCAGGGGTGCAGGGCCCCCTTAGGCACAGGGCCCGATTCGACCTAATCAGTCTAATCGGCCTAAGGCGAGCCCTGCCCCCGGAACTGGGCAGGCAAGGGCTAAACTATGGGAAGGAGACACTGTTGCTGCAACAAAACATCCTCCCTGTGCTGGCAGGGGGCCTTGCTCCTAGGGAGGCTATACTACAGACCCTGCAGCGAATGCAGAGCCCGCAGTGCAGGTAACTGTGTAACCGCTGAGATTTTCAGTGATTGCACAGTTACCCTACTACACAATTTTTAACATCCCTACTTCTCACAAAGAATTCGGATCATCTCTCTGAAGGGTTGTCTCCATCATCTTAAACGAGAGACCTGTTTCTCGCCATTCCTGGCAAAGAAAAATACTACTTTGATGTGTTTGATGGTACTTGTCATCACTGTTTCCATTCTGTAGTGTGGGTTTGTCACAAAGCAAAAATAAAATACAGTCTTGGAAAACAGAAACAAAGGGTGTAGGAGCTTTAGGGGTAGACAAATTGCCTCTAACTTGAAATTTTTTTTTAAGTATAAATTGATTTGTATCTCTAGTGAAGTCTCTGTATAAACCTCTCAAATTTTAAGCAAATCTTGCAGCACTTTAAGCATACGCAGTAAAACAAGGTGAAAAAGCTATTTCTTTATAAAATAGTTTATAATCCATTTC